AAATATCATCCAATTAAATTTATGATATGAATTAACCAATAAAATAAGAACTAAATATTCATATCATAACAATATCAGCAAGAAAATAATTTGTATGATTTCACATTATAATTTTAAGATTTACATAAAAATACATACTATATATTTGATATATATTAACGCCTACTTTATTTTTTATCTAGCATAAAATTCAGCCCGAGACCTGTAAATTAACTAAAGAAGAGACTCAGCAATATATTTTGTCTTAGTGAATTTCTGAGAATTTTCTTGCTAGTGACCTTAGATTAAGTAACTGTTAGCAATCTAATGTCTATACGAATCCTTGGTTTATCTTTCAGGAAAAATTCCTAAAGAGATGGCAAAAATTAGTTATTTGGAAGTTACTTAACCAGGGGATATTTCCACTAAATAATGTAAAACCTGGTACCTTTACACTTGACTTTAGTGTGCTTTCTATTTATTACCTCGATATAATTTCAGATATTATTCAGAAAAATTTATGAGGATGACGATAATGATGACAAGAATTCTTTAGCATCATAAAGTACCCAGCATTCTAACTTCCTTCAAATTTCCTATGAAATTTATGGATTTGTTAGAGTTGGAAATTTTTAAATTATTTAGCATCAAAAACGTTGTGAAAAGAGTTTGTACTTTGGGCATGTTTTAAAATTGGTCTGAATTTTATTCAACAACTTCGCCATCTCCTTTGTCTCTAATCCAACATGTATATCAACACGTCGAAGCCCAAGATAAACCACTAGGTCATAATATTCACGAGACATTTCTACACCATCCAAGTGATAAACTCTACATTGCTGAGGAAACAACAAGATCATTGCAAGTGATATTAATCTTAAGGGATATCGACATGTTTTTTAACCCACAATGTTTTACGAATACTTTTGGAGAGACCGTGGTGGCATTTTTTGATATTGACAAAATATCTGCAAAGGAATTGGAAGCAGTAGTAGATAACTACTGTAAACATATGTTCAATGATCCCATGCACCAATCCAAGCAATTTAAATCCGATTTGATAGAGAACATTTTGGATGTTTTATCAATAGCAATAATATACCATATATCACGACAAACACCATCTCTTCTCACCGCACAGCACATCAGAAATGGTTCAAGGTTTGATAGAAGGACTTCAACCGCTTTCTGGGACAGTTAATAAGTATCTCGAAACCACTTATCCAGCTCTATATTCTAAGATGAAGAAGCTCGATCTTGGACCGAATGTTCTGAAATCTTTTGGTGTTTTCCCCATGGTTGCAGTTAATTTTAACATAATTTGCCAATTTCACCACGATTTGAAGGATCAAAGATTTCATTTAACAAATGCACGTGATTTGTGCTATTCCCCTCCTTATTGGTTTACGATCACGTGGGAGAAATATTTTATGGCGAGATGATCAAATACGCGTTGGCACCTTTATACTGAAGTTTTACTTTACTTCTGAACCAAATTATTTGAAAGTTGAAAACGCTATGACTAATAATAAGTGGCATTCATACTTTAAAAAAACGGATCTTGAAGAATGGGATGATGTCGAGTTCCACCGATACGCGTTCACCAAGAGAATCCCAGCTAGCTCACTTACCAGAAGGCCACTAACAAACTTATAAGAAGTCTTAAAGACATTGCTTCTTTATCTTCTAGTGCCGACGAAGTCAGGAAAGCCAAAGCCTTTTAGAAAAAGTATTTTCTTTGATCTGACGATGTTGCAGTAAGATAAAGGTTGGGCCGTAGCGAAAACGTAAGAAGAAAAGTGCTATCGATACCATATGGAAATACATCGAAGGCGATACGTACTCGAAGGGAAACTTTCTTTCATCGCAAAAAGGAAGCCTTTGCTGAAAGAGGGAACAAACGAGTGCTTGAGGTTTGCATTAATTGTTGTGTTTTAGTCTTAAAAGCTGCTGTATATGAGCTCCTTGTTTCCTTTACTTTAGACAAAGTCGAATGAAGTCGATGAAAATGAAACAGAGACTCTAAAGGTGAGGAACAGCGGATCCCATCTAATTATCATGTATACTTAAAGCTCGTATATATTGAAAAAACAAAAATTAATTAGAAATTCAAAAATCAATTCTTAAATTTGCTTATTCGTTTATATCTATCGCGCATAAATAGTTTTTTGAGTAATTTATTTTTTTCGTAGTTTTTACTGAATTTGTACGAGTTCAAAGAACTGAATTGATTAACTTATGGTTAATTTGTCTCGGTAAAAAATATTAAGTAGAAAATAATTCAAATCAGGTATTTTTTATAAAGTTAAACAAATACATATTTCTTGACGTGTCAATTACCTTAATTATAAAACTAAAAGCTATAATCAGAGCCTGGAATTTCTTTAAAATTTGATATTTTTCTGCCTCTTTTCGTGTGCATTATCCTTATCAATTCCCCTATACTCTATTAAACATAACCTTATTTACAATCCAAGTAACAGTCCGGGAAGCTCGAAATCACCACTAATGTCTTGTTCATAAAAAGATTCTGGTCAGATGCAGCTTTCTTCCGTAAAGTTAAGAAGTGTTCTTGGTTTAGTGGTATTTCGTCAAATTTGCTTGTTGCCGTATTGAGAACATTCTTCCGAAGGTTAATATATATCCTTTTCCAAAGATTAATATCATAAAGAACAATCTACTGGCCGAAGTTGTCTTTAAGAAAAGCACACTCCACTATTTATATCCGAGCTTCATCAAATAATCTGCAAGATAGCTTCAAATTTGAGATATCCCAACTTAGAATTCACAATCCCTTATATTTACATGTAATTAAAAGCTTATTGATCAAAACCCAAACGCTGACGTGTCAATATTGTTCCCAATGCTATTTTAATAAAAACGCTTGTAGGTGCAGCAAAGAATCAAAAGGTATTTTTTTTTCGCGTGCAAGCTCCTCAATACTTCTAATTGTAATCGACTGCATTTTTTGTTCACATTGCCCTGTATTATATTATGTATTCTGTCAATGACCAGAAATGCAGTAGCAATATCCAAACTCATCTTTCCCTTGATCTAATAATCTAAATTTCCAGGGAGAAGCAGAGCATTTAACTTGATAGTATTTAATATCAAGCAAAATAGGAAAATGTGATAATTAATAATATACTCTAGAAAGATCTACACTGAAAAATTTCAGCAATTTAACCTCTTGGCAATGAACATAAATCAATGTCTAGAAACGTGCAAAGTCTGTTTCAATTTGTTTCGGGTTTGATTTGTCAGCCAAAAATTAGATATAAATTCCCAACCAAAATTTTACCTGATCAACGTTTTCTCCTCTTTGCTACTTTCACTTCTAACTCACTTGGAAACATGTCCGACGACATAAAATCATTTGTTGAGGTATTATTTAATAATAATGAAAATTTCTAACATAACAATATTTTATTTATCTTTTTTCTCGAAAAATATCCAGGGTGCCATTAACGAGAACTTTATTGTTCTTTTTACCAAATCCTTTTGTCCTTACTGCCATAAAGCTGTTAAAACCATCAAAGATCTAAAAGAGAATTATACCGAATATCAATTAGACAACTTGCGTAAATATAATTCAAAATTAAATTGCGTTCTTTAATAATCTAATGTCCTTTTCGAATAATTTATTTTTATTCCTACTATCATTACTATTCAAAGCGAATGGTGCAGAAGTTCAAGATTATCTCTTACAAAAGACTAAACAGAGGACCGTGCCCAATATCTTTATAGGTCAACAACATGTTGGAGGTATTTGTTCATACATGCGGTTATATATTTTGTTCAATGTTAACCGTTTAATCATTAAGGTTCTATGAATTCCGTTTTCTAGGGAATGATGATCTTCAAACAGCGAAAACAAGTGGTCGTCTTAAGCAGCTGCTCAATAGTCGTGCGTGACTACATGAACCTAGCCTATAATGCAATTTTCTTCTTATTTAATAGCAAACAAAAAAACTGTCACACCAACAGTTAATATTTATATTTATCCCCATTGAGAAGCTCAGATATTAGCAAAGTTGTCTGAATTATCGTTTATAAATTTATTTTCTTAACTTTATTAATTTCTTAACAGAGATGCTAATGAAAATGTTATAGAACAAATCAGTCCAAATTTAATCTGAAATAAAATTGAAAAATTAAAAAATATTGTTAAAATATGTTTATATTACGTATCACCTTAATTTGATTAATAAAATAGAAAATTTTATATAGAAAAAAATCTGTATTTCTATATCGATGTTTTAAAATAAATGTATTTTCGAAGTTTAATCGAATCTGCGTGTAAATTATGAAATACATGAAATCGTAATAACGATAGAATTTTCACGATAAAAGTCAAAGTGATACATATTTCACAAGCTAAAAACTAATATGCACGGAGACACAAATATTGATTAATTTATTTATCCGATATTATAAATAATAAAAAAAGAAACTGTTTTACTCACGCATCTATACAAGAAAACAACAATAATAATATTTATATATATATCCAAAATAAACGAACCCTTTCTTATATGTAATATTGTTAATTAATCAATTAATTATACACGTCACTTGTAATATTTCCTTTTTATCCAAAGAAATCGAACAAAACTCTTTTCGCGAAGCGAACATGGCTTCTAAAACCCTCATAAGAGGGCTTAGAAACCGTGGATCTTGATGATCTTTTTGTCGATTCCTTCTTCGCTGAGGAAGTTGGAAACCTTGAGACGTTGGTCTCCTTGTAGTTGAATTACTTGTCCAAGTTCTTCATCTTGAACTAGAGTTCCATTGCACGCGAATTCCTGTTTTATTATTGCGAGTTATTGAAAATCAATACTCATTATTATAATTATCATAACAATCAATAAATTCAATAATTACCTTCTTGAAGGCTTTTAACAATTTCTTTTGATCATAATCAGCTGGTACTCCTTGTACAGTAGTCAGAGTCTTTCGACCGTTTCTCTGCTGAATACGAATATCTGTTACGTAACAATAATCATAGTAACATTTGGTCAAAGATAACAATGCTATGTTGTTGCTGAAAGCCATTGAATAAAATAAATTAAAATTTAGTATCAAAAAGGATACGAATATATCCTTGAGTTTGCCCTGCCTCGTCTTCACCGGTGTCAGCGAAAGGGTCTAATAAAAACGAGACCAAATTAACTATTGCTCCTCGGCCATTTATTTAATCCTTCAAATTGCAAGTTTCACAAGTCAAGTTTTCTCATTTCATTCCGGAAAATAATACATACCGTAGACGGTAAGATTTTGGATTGCGGACATAAAAAGTTATGTGAAATTTGTCAAAAAATAGAAGAGAGATATATACGAGAAACGAGGTGTTCTTGTTTAAGCCTTTGTTTTTTGAAGCCTGTTTAGTGTAAAAGAAGTGCAAAGATGGATGGATAGCGGAGAAACAGACAAGTATGACAAGAGGAAAGAGACTGCGGCACAACCTTTTGATTATTGTGAGATATTTATAGGTTGGTTGACTAACACAAGTGATAAGATGCACATCAGAAGTTTCGTTGATTATAGACCAGCATCCAATAAGAATGCAGAAATTTTTTATCAGAAAAATACAAGAAATGCGAAAAATACGAGGAACAGGTGCCTAAATCTAGCTTGGAGTACTAATTAAAAACGTAGGGGAGGCAATTTGATTTATAACCTGTATCTCAACCCTAACCCTAACCCTAATATTAAAACCAACCTTCTAATGTTAATTAATACTACAGTAGAATTTTCGAGATCAACAATTTCTTACGTGGTGATAAGATTGATAATGACGTCATAGTTCGGATTTTTATTGTAATTCACAAAAATACATTTTTTCAATTACTATTATCATCTTCACTATCCTCACTATATGCCAGTATAGAAGCTAGAGGATTAGATTTTGAATTTGCTATTTTTTTTGCAGATGAGGATTCTTTTTCCGTTTTCAATGTTGTTAATTCATCTAATTTAACTCGTTTGTCCAAATGTCGAGATGACGACGATGGATCTTTTCCATCGGAAGAAACAGCAGCAGCACGATGATGACTATCTGTCTCGGTCAAAGATTTTTTACGCGTTTTTGTGCTGTTTTTTCGCTTAACAGCACCTTCAAGTATCATTCGTTGAGCATCTCTTTTCAGAGGGGTGTTATTAGTAGTGGTGGTAGTAATAGTAGGGGAAGAATTGACATTATGAATTTCTGAAATGGCTACTATTGACATTTGATCCTCCGTTGTTGCTGTTGTTGTTGCTGTTGACGTTGATGTTGTTGGTACTATATTAATAATCGAAGCCGCTTTCTTTTCAGCCTCGATCGCAGCACTAATAAAAATGACCCGGAAATTCCGATAAGGAAAGAAGTAACGCGAATCAAAACCCCCCCCCCCCCTGGAAACACCCAATCAATTATTCGGTACTCAAACTAACCGCCTGAATTCTTTTAACTCTTCCTCTTCTTTCTGTAATTTATTGAGCTCTTTATTACGCTCTTCGGTCTCTAAAGCAGCTAGAAAATCTATTTCGTCCTCGTCAAGCCTGTGAATTAGGTTACCTTAAATTCAGAAATATCTATCATTTCTACTCTTGTGTTAGTGATAATTTAACTTGCAAGTGGCGCATGAAAAACTTACTAAATCTCGTCATTTCTTGAAACATTTCCTCCTTTTTCATTTTTTGTTCTTGTAATCGTTCATACAATGTTCTTGGATCATATTCTTCTTCCCGTGTGGCTGTCTCATCAGTAGACTCTGCCAGGTATGAGGTTGATTAATAAAGAATTCAAAGTGGTCCGCTTAATAGCACTAGTATTTAAAAGTAATAAAGTACTTTCTCCTCCTTCTTCAAGTACCCTTTTCCATTCAGCTTTACGTCTTTCGCGTGCTTCCTGAATCTCCTCTTCAGAAACAAATTTGTTCGATATAATTGTATTCATCGTTTTTCAAATATTCTACTCGATCGAGTCAATATAGACATCACATGAGACATCTTCCAAACAAAAAAATTATCGATCAACATAATGATGGTACAAATTCGCCAAACTCCGACAGAAATTCTTCACCTTTATCGCAGTTTCCTTCGTCTCGGCTCTCGCTGGCCAAAAGATCATCTTCGTCCTGATCGTAACCTGAAAAAAGTTATTGAAAGCAGTGTTACGGAGAAGTTTCGGAAAAATTCAAGCGCGCAGGAACCAGAGGTGTTGAATCTTTTGTTCCAAGAGGCAGAGCGAGAACTAGACGCGCTGAAAAGATTATTGGATAACGAGTTTAGAGCAAAAGTATTTTCTATTCTTGGAAATTCCCAATTAACTGTAAATTATCGTAATTAATGATATCACTCTTTCCCCCCAAACAGTATCCACTCTCGAAAAAAATCGCTTCGCCTGTCGATAACCCAACTTATTATTCTGGTCTAATGGTAGCCATAGATAAAGCTGTTAATAAAAAGTTGCAGAATAGCTCAAACGGGATCTTTGCTTGGTATAAGAGAAAATAATGTGAACAGAAATGAGGTAAATAGGTTTTTATTTATATTAATAATTGTCAGTTTAGCCATGGTGAAAAAGATAAAAGGTTAATTATCATAACAACAATCTTCTACCAAAAAATATGATTTTAATGGAATTGTCTATAAAAATACATCATTGCGAGTTTCTTTTTCAAATATCTTCTTCGTTAAATATTATTGATCATGAGGTTCTTCTGGAATAAGAGAAGTAGGGTCGAATCCTAAATCATATGCATAAATATTATGAGTTCAAATATAGAATAACATTCAAAAATAAATATTTCACATATAAATAAATACCTGGCATCGGGAAACTAGTGGCGAAAGTTTCTACCTCATTTTTCAAAGTGGATATTTCATCGTTATCTTGACACGCCACCACAAAATCTTTCATCAATTTACTGGCAGCTTTATCCTAATAGTTTCAAAGAGTTGTTTATTCATTCAATCCTATGATTCGTGTTTTCATAAATAAACCAAGATACCTGTATTGATACTGCAATTTGAACGGCACGGTGCAAAAATTCGGCAACTTTGACGAAATCTTGTTCCTTGAAACTTCTAGACGTCAATGCAGATGTACCTACTCGGACACCGCCAGGCGAAAACATGCTTGAATCGCCATGTATCGAATTCTTATTTATAGTGATACTAGAAACAAACGATTAACTTTTAATACAATAGAACAATTCGTTGATTTTTATTTCATTTTCTACATACTTTGCCATATCACATATTTTTTCCAGTTTACTGCCAGTCAAATGCAACGGTCTCAAATCCCAAAGTATCAAATGATTTTCAGTGCCACCAGTCATCAACTTATATCCATATCCATTCAACGCATCAGCTAACGCAACTGCATTCACACGAACTTGTTTTGCGTATCCCTGAAATTCAGGGGACGCAGCCTGTTTCAATGCAACTGCCACCCCCGCAATAGTATTATTATGTGGTCCACCTTGACATGAAGGAAATACTGCATTATTTACTCGAGTCTCTAGATCTTCTTTAGTCTTTCGGAAAAAGATTAGGCCAGCACGGGGTCCTCGTAATGTTTTGTGTGTTGTAGTAGTCACAACATCACACACTTCAAATGGATTATTGGCTTCTTGCCCGGCAATCAATCCACCAATATGTGCGATATCAGCCAGCAAATATGCGCCATGCAAATCGGCAATTTTTCTCAATCTCGCGTAGTCCCAATCACGAGGATACGCGCTAGCTCCACATATCAACAGTTTCGGTTTAAATAGTAACGAGGTCTGTTCTAAACGATCGTAATCAATTATTCCAGTGCTCGGGTCAACTTGGTATGGCATCGACTCAAAATAGATTGATGAGGATGAGACTTTCTTTTTTGCCGTTTGCCAACCGTGTGTTAAGTGACCACCGGAAGGTAAATCCAAACCCATGAGTCGATCATGTGGTTGAATCAATGCTGTGAACGCGGCAAAGTTTGCAGTGCTGCCTGAATAAGGTTGTACATTAACACCCCAGTCCACAGGATTCAGACGGAATGCTTTTAACGCGCGTACACGACAAAGATTTTCTATTTGATCAATGTATTCGTTGCCGCCGTAGTAGCGAGCGCCTGGCAGACCCTCAGAATATTTATTAGTCAATGGCGAGCCATTCGCTTCCATTACAGCAAACGAAGTGAAATTCTAAATAAAAAATTGCTGTTTTAATACTAAAGTTATATAATGTCACGCATCATAATGAACGGTTTTTTTACCTCTGACGCAATCAATTCTAACCCCGAGAATTGGCGATGCTTCTCTTTTTGTATCAGTTCATAAATTTCAGGATCATCATCCTGAAGAGGGGTATTTAGAAAAGAATTCTTCACATAAAGAAAACACGTAGAAATGTCAATAAGCTATTAATTAACCTATGATGAGTTACTAAATAAACATCAAATACCCAGGGATCAGTTTCGTGAGTTGTATTGAACGGCATATTTTCAGTAGTATATCAACTTTCGATAAGTATAATTTCTTTGGGGTTAGGCACATGAGCGCACGCAAAGAAATGCCTCACAAATTTTATTATTATTATTTATTATACCACAATAGTGAGTCATATTGAATAAATCTTGATTTCACATGATCGATAATAAAGAATTTTATTTTGGGAAACTTTTTATGTCATCTGAAAGGTAAGAGTTTTTTCCCTATTCTTATTATACTGATTCTTTGATTCTTACATGTCGGGTTTTATAATTTAAGGAATTTACCAAATATTCTAATAACCGGGACTCCGGGTACCGGTAAATCTACTTTGGCAGAGCTTGCAGCCCAAGATGCCGGTCTCTCGTATATTAATGTTGGCACACTTGTCAAGGAAAGATTGTTGCACGAGGGTTATGATGAAGATTATCAGAGTTATATATTGGATGATGATAAGGTATTACTTTAACGCTCAGAGTATGAAATGACTCATTATTATCATGAATGAATTGTGTATGATGATAATAAATGAATCAGGTAATCGACGAAATGGAAGAACAAATGTCCAAAGGGGGAAACATTGTAGATTTTCATTCTTGTGAATTATTTCCTGAACGATGGTTCGATCTCATACTGGTGCTACGAACCGATAACACTATTCTATACGATCGATTAGTGGCACGGTAATGTCTAGTTTATTATTTTTCTGAATTCTATATATATAAAGAACTACTGAATAACATTTTAATCTTGAATAAATTGCAGTAATTATCCTCAAAACAAGATAACCGAAAACATCGAATGCGAAATATTTCAAGTTGTTCTCGAGGAGGCGAGAGAGTCGTACGCTCCGGAAAAAGTGGTGGAATTGCAGAGCAATAGTGTTGATGATATGGACAGTAACGCGTCTCGTATTGAAAAGTGGATCGAGGATTGGAAAGCGAGAAAACAGTAAAAGTAACCAGTGAAACGTATAGGACTTAGATTTGACTATTTTTCGTCATCATCGTGCTGTTTCAAGCTTTTAACCTGTTACCTAACGGGGAGTCCTTGAGATTATATGCACGGAGCTTCGGTATCTCTAAAATTGATAAATTAAATTTTATTTACCCTAAAGCGAGTGATTAATTCAACTTTATTTAATATCCAAATTAACAAATTTATTTTCTTCTGCATCGAGGTTATATTCAATTTCTGATACCAAAATCGTCGACAATGAAGATTTTGTATATTATAAATAATTGTACAAGTGATTCTCGTTATAGTAAAGGCGTCCGTACCATTAGTAAAAAATCTTCAAAAATTTACTATATCGAGTTTATTAGTAAATTTACTATAACTATAACGAGAGACTGGTTTTGGACGAACTTTACTATATCAAGAGTTTAATTAGTCTTACTATAAGGAGAGTTTACTATAACGAGGCACTTGTATAAAATCCATATCATCTGGCGAACAAATAATCAAAAAGTTTATATTAATTATTCATTTATTTTCAATTCAAAATACAGTCACACTGAGTCACTTGGTTCCGGGATCACGTGTTTACATGATCCCACAGCTCCCCCATTCTCTTTACGACTAAAATTCGTCGAATTCCCCAAATTAGTAACAGTCGATCACAGTGTCAGCTAAAGCATCATGACATATGATGAAAGTGCAAAGAGAATTGCAATGAATCCGACTATGTTAATTATTTGTAAAGCTTTTTATTATATATCAAAAAACTTGCAAGTATGCATATTGAATTTTAAGAATTGGAGAAAAAAGAGGATAGAATAGTTTTTAGAATAGAAACAAAACATCTTTTAATAATGTAAATGCATCTTTTAATAATATAAATGCATTTTTTAATAATGTGAATGCATAATTTAATAATGTAAATGCATCTGTAATAATATAAATATTTAATAATAAGAATGCATCAAAATGATTGTATTGTTCACATTAATAAAAGTCAGCTCTCTGTCTTTGAATTCTTTAATATTTTGATCATCATCACTTTCTTTATCTTTACCTTTTCCTTTGCTTGTGAAAGATAGAAGTATTTTGTGCTGATATACATTCGTATCTTTCCAAATTATTAACATAATGATACAACTTTGATTACATAATATTATTGCAATATTATTCAAATACTAATTACGCGTTGAATTAATAAGATCGTGTATGCTGTTATGATTAAAAATTCTTATAATTCCCATAAATCCTGTAATTCTATAATTTCTATTTAATTACTATTTTTTATAATTTCTATATTATTTATATATGTTTTATATATGAATTATTTGAATTATTCAATATTTTTATAATTTTTAATAAATAAGTTAAAAATATAATATTTATTAATGGAAAATATTTAATATAAATAAAGCGTAATTGAAGTCTTAAAAAAGGTATCAATTGATCAATACAAAAATCTAGCTAGTTAATAAACTGTTTTATGTTTATTGTTAATAAAATTTGTACATTTAATTGATTAAATAATAACTTATTAAAATACTTGCATTTATTGTGCACTATTGGACAAACATCAGCGGTGGTCGCCCTGGTTGAGTCGGATATTTAGCCGGAGTCAGGATATGATCGGAAATCACGTGACCGGAACTTTTTTTTGCCGTGGCTAGGGTATTACCCAGACCTGGCTTCATAGAAAACGTTTAGAAACCATTGTAAAACAATATTCTAAAGTGTAAAAGCTTTTCAAAAAT